GTGTCCTCCGGACCCTTAAGAGTACGCAAGCCTCCTGTGACGGAAACCTGGCCTTCCAATATGGCTGCCTTCACCATGCATCTGCATGCTCTGCTGGTAGTATGGGAGGGCGACAGCTCCAAGGTAATGAAACACCAGAAACTGCACTATGAACACTAGTACACAACAGCTACTTCACCCTCACATACTACCAGCAGAGTCCTCGCCAGCACCTAGCCAGCAGAGTCATCGCCGGCACCTAACCAGCAGAGTCCTCGCCGGCACCTAGCCAGCAGTCCTCGCCGGCACCTAGCCAGCAGAGCATGCAGATGCCGCATGTTGTATTTCTATGCGTGCCCCCCAAGACAGAAGGAATGGGCAGGGGAACTCTTCTCCACAACAACAACAACTAGGCCCCCCCCTCCCCCTCTCTCCTCCGAAACATTTGCATAAGAATTCAGCATCCTGTTTTAGCTATCACACACGTGAAGGTCTCTCTCTATCTCTTCCCTCTTTGGCTCCTCCCGCCACGCTTCACGAAGCAATAATAAAGAAGGCAGGGAAAGTAACTGAACCACAATTGTCTTTAAAAAAAAAAAAAAAATTGAATACAGAATTTACAATTTTCAGGGAAATGATTTTCAAATTATACGAATTTAAATGTTACTTAATTTCACTCACTAGAACATATATATATATATATATATATATATATATATATATATATATATATATATATATATATATATATATATATATATATATATATATATATTTACATTTACGTGTGTGTGTGTGTTCCCCTTGTGTGACTGTGTGTGTGTGTGTGTGTGTGTGTGTGTGTGTGTGTGTGTGTGTGTGTGTGTGTGTGTGTGTGTGCGCGTGCGTGCGTGTGCGTGCGCGCGTGCGCGCGCTATTGAATATGACAAAAATTATGAGATCAATCAATCTAGCACGAATCTTCTCAATATTTCTAATGCTCTTCACTTGCGAAGTTGAAAAATTAACTCTCCAAAGTTCATTTTAGTTTTAATATGGCCTGACATAAGGAGATGTATTTCGTTGAGCCTTACTTCAGTTGATCTTACTATGGCTGGGACGGTATGCTGGATGTTCTGTCTTGGTCTTGAAGACGGTAGAATGTCACAGTGGTCACTGGCTGTTGGTAGTTCTCTCTCGTGTTCATCGTTTATTCCTTTATTGTTACTGCATTTGTCGTTATTTCAGTGTTGTTTATAAAATATATTTTGTTTATTCGAGTTAACAACATCTTGAGGTTATCTTGAGATGATTTCGGGGCTTTAGTGTCCCCGCGGCCCAGTCCTCGACCAGGCCTCCACCCCCCAGGAAGCAGCCCGTGACAGCTGACTAACACCCAGGTTCCTATTTTACTGCTAGGTAACAGGGGCATAGGGTGAAAGAAACTCTGCCCATTGTTTCTCGCCGGCGCCTGGGATCGAACCCAGGACCACAGGATCACAAGTCCAGTGTGCTGTCCGCTCGGCCGACCGGCTCCCTTAACTTAACATACTATGAGACCAAGAAGACCGCCTTAATATGGTCATGAACTCTCCCGATATCAAACGAAACGTCTTGAGAGGAATGTCGTCTATACCTTCATATGCCCATTTGGAGGAACTATCAGCCCCAACGATCTCAGTATATAGGCAAGACGACAGCATCTCTTTCAAGACTTCTGGCAGTGCACACACAGCAAAGCTTCTTCAAAGAACATATAATCTCTAGACACAACTAGATCATCACCGGAGATTGGAACATTATCTAACACAGTGCACAGTTACAAACCATTAAGGTTTCAACTTAGATTCAACAGAGCAGAAGTTGTTGTTAAACACACATGGCAAAATCTTACTGAAGCGACCATACGAGTCATAAATACTCATAACTCCGCCCAAGTAAAACAGAAACAAACAACACTTAGTGGGCCAGACAGAGGCTTAGGGCCCGCGCAGGAATATCCCTGAAAAAAAAAAAAAAAAAAAAAAAAAAAAAAAAAAAAAAAAAAAAAAAAAAAAAAAAAAAACGGAGATATCCTGGCAAGTAACATCGTAGAAGCTACACACACACAAAAAAAAAAACTAACACGCAGTTATAATCTACAACTTTCATGAAATTTCTCTTGTCTGCAGAGCTGTGTGTTCGAACCCTTTGCGACAGTGACTTTCTTGCAGCCTGCAATGATGACACCTCTGAAGAAATAAAAATTATTTTCGTTCAGCACTTGTAAAGTTTGAAGACCTGTTTTAAGGATTATTTTCCTCTTTTTAATGCGAGTAACAACTGGATTTGGGATTTATTTTATGTAGATGTAAAACATGTAAAAAGATTTATCTACAAATAAAGAAAATAGTCTTGTAAACTTTCGTTCTGACAGCTCACTGAGGTCAAGTTGCATTCAATACAACTTATCCGAATTTTGGTTGCGAGTGAAAAATCAGTATCCAGATTCTGGCCCTCCAAAGCTCTGCGAGATATTTACAACCATCTCCTATAACATATTTATGCGAACAGACTTTCTCCCATATGTTTTATATCAAATAAAAATTCAGAAACAGGATGAATGTGGAACCTGATCCATGCTTCTATCTGGCGCTGAACCACAAATTCGACACAAAATGTCAACCAAGCAGCCTCAACCATCTCATTAAAATAAATACGGTTTTAACATTGATACTTATATAACTGAGTACTCGCTTAAGGGCGTCTTTCAACCGCGTAAACGAGCCTTTCAAAACCCGGGCTCCGTGGGGGAAAATAATTTAAATACAAGGGTTCCTTGAAGTGGCTTGGTGCTTTTCCCTGATAGTTCCCTACCTCCTTGGTGGTGACAAGGTGGTCAACCACTGCCCTGGGCCACCTGCCTCAGGGGGGCAACCACTGCCCTGGGCCACCTGCCTCAGGGGGGCAACCACTGCCCTGGGCCACCTGCCTCAGGGGGGCAACCACTGCCCTGGGCCACCTGCCTCAGGGGTCAACCACAGCCCTGGGCCACCTGCCTCAGGGGTCAACCACTGCCCTGGGCCACCTGCCTCAGGGGTCAACCACTGCCCTGGACCACCTGCCTCAGGGGGGCAACCACTGCCCTGGGCCACCTGCCTCAGGGGGGCAACCACTGCCCTGGGCCACCTGCCTCAGGGGGGCAACCACTGCCCTGGGCCACCTGCCTCAGGGGTCAACCACAGCCCTGGGCCACCTGCCTCAGGGGTCAACCACTGCCCTGGGCCACCTGCCTCAGGGGTCAACCACTGCCCTGGACCACCTGCCTCAGGGGGCAACCACTGCCCTGGGCCACCTGCCTCAGGGGGCAACCACTGCCCTGGGCCACCTGCCTCAGGGGTCAACCACTGCCCTGGGCCACCTGCCTCAGGGGTCAACCACTGCCCTGGGCCACCTGCCTCAGGGGTCAACCACTGCCCTGGGCCACCTGCCTCAGGGGTCAACCACTGCCCTGGGCCACCTGCCTCAGGGGTCAACCACTGCCCTGGGCCACCTGCCTCAGGGGTCAACCACTGCCCTGGGCCACCTGCCTCAATTAGTACATTGAGTGGAAAAGTAGCGGCTCACAGGTATCCCCGTTTTCTATGCATCGAAAGATAAGGTTACGTGAGTTGGGTTAAGCCACCCACCTAACCCAACCTGGGTTGGGTTAGGTGGGTGGCTTTATATTTTGTACGTTGTGGGAAGTCAAGAACACGGCCTCAATTTCCAGGTTTGTATTTCATCGCTAGGTCAACAGAGGCATCAGATGAAAGGAATTGTGCTCAATCGTTTCTGCCCTGTTCAGGGATTGAAGCCCGGTCCCTCGGTTGTCAGCCGAGGACGCAGACCTCTTTAATGCTACAGGACCCATCAATGCTACAGGACCCCATCAATGCTACAGGACCCCATCAATGCTACAGGACCCCATCAATGCTACAGGACCCCATCAATGCTACAGGACCCCATCAATGCTACAGGACCCCATCAATGCTACAGGACCCCATCAATGCTACAGGACCCCATCAATGCTGCAGGACCCCATCAATGCTACAGGACCCCATCAATGCTACAGGACCCCATCAATGCTACAGGACCCCATCAATGCTACAGGACCCCATCAATGCTACAGGACCCCATCAATGCAACAGGACCCACCAACGCTACACGACCCACCAACGCTACACGACCCACCAACGCTACACGACCCACCAACGCTACACGACCCACCAACGCTACACGACCCACCAACGCTACACGACCCACCAACGCTACACGACCCACCAACGCTACACGACCCACCAACGCTACACGACCCACCAACGCTACACGACCCACCAACGCTACACGACCCACCAACGCTACACGACCCACCAACGCTACACGACCCACCAACGCTACAGTATCCACAGTGTCTCAGTATGACTTCTTTTTCATCTTTTCCCCCTCAAGACTTTATAACCTAACCTAACCGTATATCCCTTCACAGACCTCAAGAAGACTGCTGCCTCAGCCCTGTGTCGCAAGAAGCTGGTGGCCACGACGGCGGAGTTCACCAAGGTGAGCATCTTCCCAGAGCTGTTTACAACAGTGTAGGACAGAAGCTGTCGACTCAGCTCACAGTTGGGTATAACTGTCATCTGGTTTTCATCTCCACCATATTCCCCACTTGCTGTCAACACAACATTTTCGAAACACTACATTTCGGGATCACAACATTTCCGATGAATTCAACTTCATCACGCAAATGTGCCAGCTGATAATATAGCGAGCGAGCGAGCGAGCGAGCGAGCGAGCGAGCGAGAGAGAGAGAGAGAGAGAGAGAGAGAGAGAGAGAGAGAGAGAGAGAGAGAGAGAGAGAGAGAGAGAGAGAGATATAGAAGGAAGGAATTATCAAGGGAAAGCGCTAAGCCATTAAGACTATATAGCACTGGGAAGGGGTCAGGATAAGGATTTGGGATGGGACGGAGGGAAAGGAATAGTCCCCAACCACTTGGACGGTCGGGGATTGAACGCTGACCCGCATGAAGCGAGACCGTCGCTCTATGTCTCCAAGCATGTATTTAGCTATGTCAGTAAGGATAGGATGTATGTTTCCTGATATTGGAGGATTGCTGTCAGTTGACAGCTGAGACATTTATGAAATGTGAACATGTTTATTATGATGTTGGACTATTATTTGTCAAATTTTATTAGTTAGGTTAGCTTTTGTTTGTGGCATGAGTTGAATTGTGGGTTTGGATACTAAACCTCGTGATTTTTAACAAATTAACAAGGTTTACTAAGTGCTTGTGTGGGGGGGTTGTAACAAACTAGGCTGTTGTAAGAATTATTCCAGAAGGTTCCAGAAGTTTCGGGTAGAGACCTGACCTCTCAACGCACATTCCCCTGAGGATTAGCAGGTCTGAGTCACAAATGGCGGGCATCTTTGTTCATAGTTTTGTATAATGAATCATCCTATAGTATTCAGTAATTTAGAGAAATTAGCCTTTATTCATTTTGTATTAAAATTGTATTGTATAATAGTACTGGGTACAATATCAAGAGTATTCTAATTATTGAGTTTAAGTCACCATCAGTGACGTCACGAATCAGACGTAAGTTGTAAGGCGGAGTGACCGGCGGTCATAGGTCATCAGGGTTGACATGTCTACTATTTCTCAAAGTTCAATTAACCATTTTGGGTATCGGGAACAGCTCTGCCGTTAAATACTTGTGTAATTTAATTTCAGTAAAATAATTCAACCAGTCTGGATCAATTAAGTACAACAGAGGTTAATTGTTATAACTTAACCTTGCTAAGTAACTGGGTAAGCTATGCGGAACAATACAATGCTCTAGTCTGGGCTAGACCAGACGAGGATAGATTAGTGTGGACTCCGGATCTACTGGGAGAGGTCACCCCATCTTACCTCTCCCAAGACCAGCCCCAACATCTAGCTGGTTGCCCAAGGTATAGTTGCTATTGTTAATTATAGGGATAGTCTTCTCATTTGCCATCCAGGTCAAGTAGGGAGTGTTAAAGTGACAGGGAGTGAACATATTTAGATTTTGTTTTAGTTTTTCTTTTAATAAATTAATTAGTTAATAATTTGCATTTTTATTGTTTCCATGTGTTTACTTGTCCTGGTCACGTGGTCCACACGAGGTAAAGTTGGATTGGGCGCCGATTCTAATATCGAATCGGAATTCATCATTACCGTGTAATTTATTCCACACTCAAGGTCATCGGTTATAGTGGGGATCAAGCCCCAAGGTTGATTAATTAGCATGATCGATCCAGACCTCGATCATTGCTCGTGTTACTGGTCTGGTGGTGGCGGCGGAGGCGACTCTAGGGTTTTGCTCGAAGCCTAGGTCACGTCATACTGGTTGTAGAATCCTAAGTCGGTCAATCGTCTTAGGACCACGTGGCGTGGAGTTGGCTTTGGTAAAAGTTTTGGAGTCCCTTGTAGAGAATAAAAAGTAAGAATACGGGTAGAGGGGAAAGAAGAAGGAAAGAGAAGTAAGAGAAACCCCTACCCCGTGTTACACTTCTACACCAGTAGAGATATTATCAAGGTTCTCCACAGACGATGCACACCATAAGAGACCTCCGAAGTGACTTTACACAAAGGAGTTTACAGCTCTTGAGACTATTATCTAAAGAGTTAGCGCTGGTATTGAGCGCAGATGCTTAAGGCAGCCTTCAATTATCTTGTAACCGATTATAGCTTTTCATTGCCTTGTTTCTCATGACATTCATCTTTTTTTTTCTGAATATGCTGTTTACACTAAGTATATTAATCATATTTTTTCAGTTTAAACAATAACATTAAAATAACAAACACACACACACACACACAAAAAGTAGTTAGTAAACAGGTGACTGACAGTTGAGAGGCGGGCCGAAAGAGCAAAGCTTAACCCCCGCAAACACAACTAGGTGAATACACACAAGAGTATGTTACACGATCTGTGTAACACAGAACGAGAGGCGAATGGTGGAAGCTAAAGACACAGAAGAGCCATACAAATTTAAGGAAACCTTTAGTTAGCCTCAGGGTAGGAAGCCAACGTGACGAGAGAGCAGGAGGTAGCCGAGGCTAACACCATGCAATGATTTAAATGAAGACTTCACTGAAATATCTCTTGGGTCGAGCAACAATGAATTAGAATGACCGAGAGATGAAGAGGCGGGACCCAATATTGAATCCTCAGTCTTCGAGGAACAATTAGGCTGACGTTCAAGAGCTGAAGCTCGATCTTCAAGGTACGGTAATTACACACACAGGTGTATGAATAGTCAGAAGCCGAGGCCCAGGCTCTAAAGCTCGACTCCAATAAACAGAACCAAGAAAACCGCATTATTTTAGTCTCCTTTATTATTATTATTAACATCTTTATTGACAAAATTAATTACAATTTTGCCTAATCTGAGGATTTTGATATATAAGAGGAACCGGATAGCTCCTACAAGACGTGCTAGAGGAGCATGGTGTTCTAATTCTCAAAACAATAAAGTAGTTGGTTGGGTTCCGGAGTCAGAGGGCAGAGGAGAAGGGGGCGTGGGCATGAGTGGGTATTAAGGGGGTGACTCATGGCCCCCCGAGGCCATAGTCCGGGGCATGTGTGTCTGAGTCACAAACAGGTTTGCCCTCCACTAACTACAAACACACCACTGCCCCCCCCCCCCCCTTAAGTACTTTAACTGGCAGGAATATTTCCCAACCATTATACAGCATGATGCTCAAATTTCATCAAGTCGCAAATACTTCGCCCATGAGGTCACCTTCTTGCATTATTCAAGGCCGCGAGTCTCGCATCATTCACGCAACAAGTGAAAATACAGCCTCCTCTTCTCGCAAATAAAACAAAATCCTTCTTCCATATGAGGATGTATTTATCTGTAGTAAGGTAATATAGTCAAGATTGAGGGTTTCATCTTAGTAATTACATTGTGGACACACATGAGTGAGAAGCACACAACTTCAGACACACGCAAGGCCAGTACAGACGTTGGTCACTACTGGGACGCCAGACCTGACTCTTGTGTGAGAATCAGTATAGAATTATTAACATAGTTCCTTAGAGTGTAACAAATTTCACTGTTATGGTAGTTCAGAGTAGCCCTTCTTTTGACGTAGGACTGTAAAGCCCTAGCTTAGAGGTAAGTCTAAACAGCGGTAGCTTTAGAGGAAAGTCTAAACAGCGGTAGCTTTAGAGGAAAGTCTAAACAGCCCCAGCTTAGAGGAAAGTCTAAACAGCCCCAGCTTCGAGGAAAGTCTAAACAGCTCCCAGCTTAGTGGTAACCCTAAGCACCCCTACTTTAGAGTAGGACTTGAAAAAAAAAATAGCACTAACTTAGAACAGTTGACATATGAATCTAAACAGAAAAGAACAATGAAGATATAATAATAATAATAATAATAATAATAATAATAATAATAATAATAATAATAATAATAATAATAATAATAATAATAATAATAATAATAATAATAATAATAAAGAAGAAGAAGAAGAAGAAGAAGAAGAAGAAGAAGAAGAAGAAGAAGAAGAAGAAGAAGAAGATCGATTGGAGCCATGATGAGGATTTGAACCTGCACTCTTGGTGTAGGTTCGAATCCTGTTTGTGCATTTGAAGTGATCGTTGGGGGGATGGGGGGCCACCTAAACCACCATTGTGCCAGCTGGTAATGTGTGAAACCTTCACTTGGTATCCGCCTTAAGAACCCTTCGTTGGAGACAGTTGCATCCCAGGTTGCAGTACTAACAACACGTCGTGGTCCAGTGGTGCATGGCGGGTGCACGGGAGTACTGCAAGTTCGAATTCTAGTTTCAAGTGATTGAAACTAGAATTGATACAAGTTTCAAGTGATTGAAACTCATTGATACATCACCTTAATTACTGTGATTTCTTTGTAAATAACAGTAACTTCAACATTCTTCATGGCAATCATTCAACAATTAACCGATCGAAACTTAATTTCATAAAGTATTCACCTGGTTGTGCTTGCAAGGGTTGAGCTCTGCTCTGTTCGGCCCGCCGCTCAACTGTCAATCAACCGTTACTAACTACTACTAAATTTGCGTTACTTGGGAAACACACAGAAATAACAGGAGACATATATTCAATACACTTATAACATAGGCTTAAGCATTAAGTAGGTTGTCTTAAGCTTATTTATTTTTGTTGTGTTGATTTTGGCAAAAATCACAACAAATTTGGCATTCACAAAACGGTAAGAACGGGCTGGAGGAAGCTTCTATAACGCCACCAGCAACACCACGTGTTTATCCTTGTAACGACCATGGAAAACTAGCACACTTGTACATGAGATAGCAAAAGGTGACATGTACACCAGAACACAAGCAGAACACACACACACACACACACACACACACACACACACACACACACACACACACACGAGTAAGTCAGGCCGTTTCCCTCCTCCCCAAAACAAGCACAAACACACATATCCACCCACATAGAGACATGTACCAAAGCAAAAATACAGAAAGAGTGGACGAGATACAGTACAAATCCATATGCATTTGGCTTCAATACAATAAAAATACTACCCAGAGCGCCGACTGTATTCCCCCCCCCCCCCCCCCCCCCCACACACACACACACACACACACACACACACACGGTCGCAGCAAGACCCTACCGAATCACCAAACACAATAATGACCTTACATGAGCAGTATGGGGGGCAGTTTTTCGAACCTGTGGACCCCTGGAGGATAGCATTATATGTCACATGGTAATTCCAATCCCCAAACCTACCCCCCCCCCACCCCCTCTCCCCCAACACACACAATGCAGTGACTGTTGTATTTGAGTGATGTATAAAACAACGAAAACAGGAAAAAAATAAACCCACTCCGTCATTACACACTGTGGAGGTATTATGTTTCATTTGCATTTTAGTACTAATAGTAGAGCAGGCGGGGATCGACACGCAGCCCCTCTGTTTATATCACACATAACCACGCCGGCTCTATATTGCCACATAGAGGCCGGCTCTATATTGCCACATAGAGGCCGGCTCTATATTGCCACATAGAGGCCGGCTCTATATTGCCACATAGAGGCCGGCTCTATATTGCCACATAGAGGCCGGCTCTATATTGCCACATAGAGGCCGGCTCTATATTGCCACATAGAGGCCGGCTCTATATTGCCACATAGAGGCCGGCTCTATATTGCCACATAGAGGCCGGCTCTATATTGCCACATAGAGGCCGGCTCTATATTGCCACATAGAGGCCGGCTCTATATTGCCACATAGAGGCCGGCTCTATATTGCCACATAGAGGCCGGCTCTATATTGCCACATAGAGGCCGGCTCTATATTGCCACATAGAGGCCGGCTCTATATTGCCACATAGAGGCCGGCTCTATATTGCCACATAGAGGCCGGCTCTATATTGCCACATAGAGGCCGGCTCTATAGGCCGGCTCTATATTGCCACATAGAGGCCGGCTCTATATTGCCACATAGAGGCCGGCTCTATATTGCCACATAGAGGCCGGCTCTATATTGCCACATAGAGGCCGGCTCTATATTGCCACATAGAGGCCGGCTCTATATTGCCACATAGAGGACCCCCCCCCCTTCCCCTTTCCATGTGAATTACAATATTGGGAGTCAAAAATTGTTTAGAACTTCCTGAAAATACTCAGTTAAATATCCATGAGCGTTTGGGACAGTTATAGTTATAGTTAGGATTGAATTACATCCTCACGTATGTTACCTAGCAGTAAATAGGTACCTGGGAGTTAGACAGCTGTCACGGGCTGCTTCCTGGGAGTGTGTGAAAAAACAATAGCTGATTGACAATTGAGAGGCGGGCCGAGAGAGCCAGAGCTCAACCCCCGCAAGCACAACTAGATGAACACACACACACACGGCTGAGTGGACAGCGCTTGACGGGGTCGTAGTCCGGGTTCGATTCCCGGTGGAGGCGGAATCAAACGGGCACAATTTCTTTCACCATGAATCCCCCCCTGTTCATCTAGCAGTAAATAGGTACCTGGGAGTTAGGCAGCTGTCACGGGCTGCTTCCAGGGGGGGGGGTGTTTGCGCGCGTGTTAGAGAGAAACATATGTGGTACATATAATAAGAGGAAAAATAGATACGTTAGAAAGGCGGTGTCCAAGAGCTAATAGTTCGTTTCTGCCGAGACAATCAGGAAATACAAATAGTAAATGCACACACTCACACCTCACACAGGTCAACCACGGCAGCTATAGCCACCAGTGGTGCCACAACCACGGCAGCTGTAGCCACCAGTGTTGCCACAACCACGGCAGCTATACCCACCAGTGGTGCCACAACCACGGCAGCTGTAGCCACCAGTGGTGCCACAACCACGGCAGCTATAGCCACCAGTGGTGCCACAACCACGGCAGCTATAGCCACCAGTGTTGCCACAACCCCGGCAGCTATAACCACCAGTGTTGCCACAACCCCGGCAGCTATAACCACCAGTGTTGCCACAACCACGGCAGCTATAACCACCAGTGGTGCCACAACCCCGGCAGCTATAACCACCAGTGTTGCCACAACCCCGGCAGCTATAACCACCAGTGGTGCCACAACCCCGGCAGCTATAACCACCAGTGTTGCCACAACCACGGCAGCTATAGCCACCAGTGTTGCCACAACCACGGCAGCTATAACCACCAGTGGTGCCACAACCACGGCAGCTATAACCACCAGTGGTGCCACTACCACGGCAGCTATAGCCACCAGTGTTGCCACAACCACGGCAGCTATAACACCAGTGGTGCCACAACCACGGCAGCTATAACCACCAGTGTTGTCACAACCCCGGCAGCTATAGCCACCAGTGTTTCCACAAAATTGTTGGTTGCTTGGGTTGTCCTCGCGCCACCAGGTCTGACTCCACCACAACAGATCCATTATTGACTTCTACAACTCGTTCTACCACTGGTTGTAGCCACCACTGGCTGTAGCCACCACTGTTGCTACTACCACTAGACAAACCAAGCCACGATCGCTACAGTTGTCCCCATCGTTTCCGCTACCACTGTAGCCTACAACACGAGCCAACCACCATACTAATCACCCCAAAACACAGCTTAACCACCATATACTAATTAACCCCCGTTTCCATAATAAGTATCTCCTTATTATAAGTATTTCCATATCACACCCACGTCATTAAATTGGAGACGGAACGACTAGGTACTTAACAAGGAAGGAGGAGACTGTTTACAAACTGTTTACAACAACTGTTTACAAAATACGACAGGACTAGACGGCTGGGATGGGCTCATGGGGGGGGGACGTAACGAGACAAAGGGCTGTGGAACCTAAGAGGATATCATAAAGGATCCGAAATGCTGCAGAAATCCTCCGGAAATCACTAGCAAATGATATCACTAGATAGCTTGAGATATCACTCAAGCGTATCACTAGACAAGGGTCAGCCAAACAGCTGGAAGAAAGCACTTGTCGTACCTATGCATAACAGAAGAGGATATATATACCATGGTCAATGTGTGAAAATAGTCAATGAACAACATAATGGGTTGAAAGAGATGGGGGAGTAATGGTCACAAACTCCTACTGGAGCTCAACGACTGCGAGGCCAGACAGGAAAGGCCAGAGTATGTCGACTACAATCTATTACGGAATATGGAATGGGAGAGTTAGAGAGAAAGAGCGACATGAGGCTCCAGGAAGACTCACGTTACAAAGTATTGTCGTACACATGGATACTGGAATTAAGCCAAGTGGAAACTCATGAGGAAGGGACCAGAGAGTCATGAGGAAGGGACCAGAGAGTCATGAGGAAGGGACCAGAGAGTCATGAGGAAGGGACCAGAGAGTCATGAGGAAGGGACCAGAGAGTCATGAGGATGGGTACTGGAGCAAGGTGGCCAAACACTACATAATGATATAGATGAAGTTACCAAGGTCCAGCGCCTTACACCCAGGGCACTGGTCATCTCCACGACCTCCTCCAAGATGTTCCTTATCATTTCCTGTGAGAATTTTTTTGTATGATGTAATCGTGTATACTCACCTAGTTGTGCTTGAGGGGGGGGGGGGGGTTGAGGCTCGGCTCTTTGGTCCCGCCTCTCAACTGTCAATCTACACAATGTGTGCATGTGTAATTACCTAAGAGTAGTTACAGGATGAGCGCTACGCTCCTGGTGTCCAATTGCGTACGAGTATATTTACTATTTGTACCTGTAGGCTCGAGCTGTTAGCTCTTGGACCCCGCCTTTCTAACAGTCGGTTGTCTGGTTTACTGACCCACTACATATGTTCTCCTCTATCTTATCTTCCACTCATCTCTCTCTCTCTCTCTCTCTCTCTCTCTCTCTCTCTCTCTCTCTCTCTCTCTCTCTCTCTCTCTCTCTCTCTCTCTCTCTCTCTCTCTCGCACACACGCATAACCAGAAAGCAGCCTGTAGCAGCTGTCTAACTCCCAGGTATATATTTACCGCTAGGTGAACATAAGCATCAGTTGAAAGAAACATTGCGCACTTCTTTCTGTCTCTGCCGGGAATCGAGCCCAGGAGCTTACCGGGAACCCTGGAACTCACTCTCGCGCGCCCGCGAGAGAGAAATCCGGAAGATAGGACAAAAGAAAAATAGGTTAAGAGTCAACATAAGTGATTCAGCAATAGGTTAAGTTAACAGCGCGACAGGCACACGCACTCGTGCATGCACACACGCGTGCGCGCGCGCGCACACACACACACACACACACACACACACACACACACACACACACACACACACACACACACACACACACACACACACACACACACACACACACACACACACCCACCCACCCACCCACCCACCCACCCACCCACCCCCACACCCCAGAATGTGAGGTGTCCAGAATAGTCCTGTGGTCCGGGGTTCGATTCCCAGCGCCGGGGGAAACAGATGGGCAGAATTTCTTTCACACTGATGCCCCTGTTACCTAGCAGTAAATAGGTACCTGGGAGTTAGACAGCTGTTACGGGCTGCTTGCTTCTTGGGGAAGTGTTTGCGGCGAAAATATAGTTAGTAGTTAGAAACAGTTAATTGATTGACAGTTGAGAGGCGGGTCGAAAGAGCAGAGTTCAACCCTCGCAAGCACAACTAGGTGAATACAACTAGGTGAATACACACAGCATGCAAACCTGAGATTCTTTCACTGTTTAAAGTTTCAAGAATATCTTCAAAGAAGTTATAATCCGAAACCTGCTTTTGCAGCGCGCGCGCGCGCGCGCACACACACACACACACACACACACACACACACACACACACACACACACACACACACACACAAGAGAGAAGAGAGAGAGACAGACAAAGACAGACAGACAGACAGACAAAGACAGACAGACAGACAGACAGACAGACAGACAGACAGACAGACAGACAGACAGACAGACAGACAGACAGACAGACAGACAGACAGACAGACAGACAGACAGACAGACAGACAGACAGACAGACAGACAGAAAGACAGACAGACAGACAGAAAGACAAAGACAGACAGACAGAAAGACAAAGACAGACAGAAAGACAAAGACAGACAGACAGAAAGACAAAGACAGACAGAAAGACAAAGACAGACAGACAGAAAGACAAAGACAGACAGAAGACAAAGACAGACAGACGACAGACAGACAGAAAGACAGACAGACAGACAGACAGACAGACAGAAAGAAGACAGACAGAAAGACAAAGACAGGAAAGACAAAGACAGACAGAGACAAGACAAAGACACACACACACACAGAGGCAATAACACAAAATAAGTTAAAGTAACTTCCGCTCACTATAAAAGGGAAACAGATACATGTTGTCTTTAAAGACACGTTATCTAACAGGACAACATGGAGCGGGCCGGTGAGGCTGGGTGTAGAGTCGGGCTCCAGCTCCTGGGAGTCTCTATAGGTCGTGTAATGCAACATTAAAATACCTCAAATAATTTCTTTGTAAAACCAAAATCAAATAATTACAATGAAAATGTTAACAAATAATGACAAATGAATATAAATCATATTTTTTTTGTTGAGAAACCAAAATCTTTTTAACTTCAAAAACTTGTCGAGAGGTTCAATTGCATTACACACTTAAAAGTGACCTCAACGCCCATCATTCCCTTAGTTTAGGATGATAAATTTGGTCCTGTTAAAGACCAAACAGCGAATAACCTGCCGTTTAGTAGACCTAAACAACCACAAGGTCTTCCTAAACAAACCCCCCCCCCCCAAAAAAAAAAAAACTCGGCTAGAAACCTCCAACAGTAGTAAGTCTAACCAATCTGGTCTGGCCATCTACGATAAAACGTGAATAACCACCACATAACATTTTACAGCACAATAACACCCCCTTCCCACCCCCCTCCCTCCTTTCCCTTCTCCACTACCCCTCATTTCCCTCCCATCTACCCCCCTCTTTTTACTCTACATCCTTTCCCTCCTTTCCTTCATCCTCCTCTTCCTCTTCCTCTAAATATGCAGCGTTCACCATTAGGACAGTCCAGATTTAGTGAGGTCCGCCAACGACTGGAAAATTCTGGCTCTTCTTCATCGACGACTGGAAGGTTGTGTGTCGTCTTTGGCAACGTCTGGAAGGTCGTGCGTCGTCTCCAACAATGACGAAGATTGTAGGTCGTCTTCTGCAACGACTGGAAGATTGTGGGTGGTCGTCAGCAACGACTGGAAGGTCGTAGGTCATCAACAACGACTTGAAGGTCGTGGGGGGCGTCATCAGCTGCACATCAATTCAGACCCCATTTATAAAAGGTTGAAATGTAACCCAAACATGAGGCAAACGCCTCAAGCCCAACAGGCCTCAGAGTGAGACAACAGGAGCTGCTCCTCCGCCTCAAACCACCGGCTTCCAATCCCCTGACGAGGCAACTAGAGATGGTGACCCACCCTCAGGTAAATTCAGGTAAAATCTCCATCCAATTAACAGATATATCATCCCCCCCCAATCACCAGACATGTTAGTTATTTTATACGACAATTATTTGATTCATAATTTTCCATTGTAAGTGGAAGTAAATTAAATTAACGAATCTAAGCACTTCCACATACTTGTGGAAGTGCTTAGATTGGTTATCTCAGGTAATTTTCCCAAATGAAGACATTTCCCAGGTAACCTCTCCCAGACTCTGTTGTGTAACCATTGTTGTGGGGTGTGACACCAGTGTTGTGGGGGCGTGACACCAGTGTTGTGGGGGCGTGACACCAGTGTTGTGGGGGCGTGACACCAGTGTTGTGGGGGCGTGACACCAGTGTTGTGGGGGCGTGACACCAGTGTTGTGGGGGCGTGACACCAGTGTTGTGGGGGCGTGACACCAGTGTTGTGGGGCCGTGACACCAGTGTTGTGGGGCCGTGACACCAGTGTTGTGGGGCCGTGACACCAGTGTTGTGGGGCCGTGACACCAGTGTTGTGGGGCCGTGACACCAGTGTTGTGGGGCCGTGACACCAGTGTTGTGGGGCCGTGACACCTGTGTTGTGGGGGCGTGACACCTGTGTTGTGGGGGCGTGACACCTGTGTTGTGGGGGCGTGACACCTGTGTTGTGGGGGCGTGACACCTGTGTTGTGGGGGCGTGACACCTGTGTTGTGGGGGCGTGACACCTGTGTTGTGGGGGCGTGACACCTGTGTTGTGGGGGCGTGACACCTGTGTTGTGGGGTGTAACACCTAGCCAAAATAAGACATAAAATGTTGTATATATATGACAGGCACTAGGTGTATGCTGTGACAATAACCTCACAATTGTATTCCGTCACAGGTGTTGGCTCTCGAG